GGGGGGGGTACAGGGGCCCCGTCGCCACAGAGAGTGAGAGGAGGAGAGATACAGAGCATGCTGGCCACCGTTCATGCTAAAAGAGAAAGTTACCCTGTGCCTGTCGACAGGGATGCAGGGCGCTCACAGTGTCAGAGCAGAAGGAGAGACAAAGTGAGGAAGGACGGAGGGAGAGAAAAGGCATGTTAAAAAGGAGGGAAGCGAGGAAGAGGTTGTACCTACTGGTTATGATAGCTGAGAGGGTCTGGGATGCAAAGTTCGGAAATGTCCATCAGTCCAGTTTAAGCATTCCACGGATGAGGAGAAGGGAAAGGAGGCGATCCGGCCCCACGTCGTGGCCCCTGCAGGTGACAGGAGAGCAGGAAACACACCTCCCGCTCGGCACGGCACCCCCCCAGCCTGCGCAGGTACGCCGGAGCCCGACGGTGCGTGCGTGTGTGCGCGTGTGTGTGCGCGTGCGAGAGTGCGCCAGCGAGTGGTGCGCGTGTCGGGTGTGTGCACGTGGATGTGAGAGAGAGAGGGAGAGGGAGAGGGGGCGGTAAGGGGGGTGAGAGAGCGAGAGAGAGAGAAGCAGAGGCAGCGGTGGTCTGGTGGTGGGATGGAGAGGCAGTGAGAGAGTGAGAGGAATGATTCTCTCCATGGTCAGGATAGGGCTCTTTAAGACTCAAGGGCTTGATGAATATGGAGCAGCTGCTGTTGGCTGGCTCAGAGGGGCCGGACTTAAAGCGACAGAGTGGGCCGGCAGACGGCAGGGAGGCGGGGAGTTCCAGGGGGGCGGGGCTGATAGCCAGGCAGCATTCAAACGCTCAGCCTGGACATGAGCTGCGGCGCTTTCTGCACCGCTAGCACAGGAGCACGGCGCAGTCCCCCAGGCGCGGAAGCCCACGTGGGCCGGCACCGCTATCAAAAACAGCCAGGCCCTTCTGGCCGCATGCAGAGGGTCTCACAAAACGGTACCAGAAACACAGAGAGCCAGCACCCTGCGTAACTCAGCGGAATATTTCAGAAAAAGCTTGTTTATATATATACACACACAAGGTGCCAGTGAGCTGAAACTCACCCAAGGACCTTGGCCTGTCGCAAAACTATTTGCATGTCGCATTCAGCTTGAAATTATTTTGAAAATTATATCAGATATTTCAATTGCCCAGGAATCATGTAGAACCCTTTCACACTGATTTAGCGGCTCAAACACAGCTTTACATCGACCTGAAATGTTTGCACTTTTGTTTGACCGTCTTACAGAACTGTGAATAACGGAGAGCCAATTTTCCTCAGGAAACTAACTTTCTCAAGAGACCGAACCACAATTTCTCTTTAGCGCAGCTACTGAGCGATGGTTTTAAACAGATTTCTTACAGTGGGGGTATGAATTGGTAAAGCAGTCGTTTTGCTGTTGTATTTGAAGAAATGAAGGATAAAATTATGGCTAAAAGACCCTGTCAGATCCAGAATGGCGAGTGTCAGTTGCGAGATGAGGCGTCATCATTAACATTTTTTATATTATCACTTGATTGCAAAGAATGTTTTTAAAAATGATGCAATTATAGCAGCATAAATGTAGCTTCTGTTGGTGACATCATACAAAACATATTTAAATATGTCTCAGAATACAAAGTGTGCATGTCCACTTTAAGGACCTCAGAGTTTGAATATTAAAAAAAATATAATAATAAATTCAAACTTCTGTGCCTCATTTGAAAACAAAAGACGATTCTATATGCAAAAGCCTATGGTGCCAAGAAATTGTACTTATATAGGATAAATGTTTCAGTCTAATCCAGTATCCCCCCCCTCCCCATCTTTCAGCAGCATTTGGAAAGTAAATACATTTACTAGGGTTGTGTTTCATATTTTCCGCAGCGTGCCACACAAAAGGCCGGGTAAGCAACCCCCCCAGCACCAGCCCAAGACACTCTCCAGCCATAATTCACACCACTGTACCCCAGAGCCTAAGACAGCAGAAAATCCGGCCCGTCCAGGGTGATCCAGGACGATTCTGCCTTTGACTGGAGAGGAGGGGGAAAAAAAAACACAACCCGATTTTAACCGTTGATGGAGCCCACAAAGAATGCGTGAAATTCAAATAACATTTCGAACGGCCTCCATCGCCGGGCCCCCAGACAGTAAGCAGCCAGCGGAGAGATCTTTAATGAAAACAGCGGCAGAATGGCAGACGTCGGCGTAAATCGCGTGACCAGTTTAACTGCCACCAGTCCGGCCTGCGGTCACTGAGAAATATTGAACTGCGGGACTCAGTCACTCTGATGGCTCAGTGAACCTACAGAGAGGGTACAAAGGTTTTCAAAGGGAACGGCTTTGTTTTTGCCTCTTCCGCACAAAACATGCAAAAAACAGATTTCCCCACACCCGTGTTAAATACGTACCCCCCATATGCAACCCAACTCTCCAGGTTTCCCCCATAGATGCCCGGCCCGAACATTGCCCTGATCAATGCAAAAACATCACCAGAAGGATATTAATCATTACTGCCCTGATTCTGATCTCCCAGCAAGCCGTGCACATGTGGAGGGAAATCGAAAACTAATAAGGTCTTTTACATAAAAAAGCAAAATTATAAATTCCTTTCAAGTCACTCTGCATCACAGTCACTGAAGTAAGGGCCATTCGTTTTAATGGGACCAAACAGGAACTGAATGTTATTAAAGTGTAAATCAATCGTAAATCCTTTAAAAGAAGAAACAGAGCAGCACCAAACAAAATATTCTAATAAAATGACAAAGAGAAATATCCAGACTAAATCAATTGGAGACTCCTGTTTTTTAATCAAGTACATTTCAATTTTCTTAAACCAACCGCAACATCATCAAAACATGTCTGTTATAGAGCCACGGGTACAAATGTATATAAAGGAATATTTCTTAATATTACAAGTAAATATGTTGATAAAATATTGTTCAACATGCTAAAGTATTTTAAAGTGGACAGCATGATGTCTGATATCAATGGATGGATGATTGATGTCTCAGGAATTCTGGAATGTACCATAATTTAATTGCAGCACATGGGATTAAAAGGTCGTTTGTCCTAAATTTTAATCCATTTAATTTGGTTGAGGGAAAGGGAACAACCTCTTCGGAATTATTAGGGTAGAATGGAAAAAACGGACCGTCAGATGGCCGTCGCTTCGCCTTATTCGTGTTGCCACGCGTTCCTAAGTAGATATATCGTATAATATGCATACACGTGTGCATATGGGCGAACAAACTGTTCTCCGGTGTCGTTTAACATAAACTCAGTGGAGGCTGTGAAAATGGCATGACGGGGTCCCTCGAATCCCCCTGTACAAACAGAGCTTTCAGCAAAACTTTCAACGATACCACCAGCTCCAGTGCTATGTTATACTGCACGCCCCCCCTCCTTGACTTCGCAAAAGGGCTGTCAGTTTACACCCAAAACACGTCAAATCCACTCCCACTAAGGAAATGCACTCCGACCATGAAGGTTAAGCAATAACTCCTTCACAGAGAAACTCACACTGTCCCGGTTATGCGGGCTTTCTACTTTAGTACAACAGGTCATTTTAATTTGATTCACATGCCATGCAGAAGCGTAGTTTTTAGAATCGGCCGAATAGACCGCGCATGAAAGTGTAAAATATAACGCCAGATGCAACGATTTAAAATTAAATAAGCAACGCCACTTACATAAAAAGCGTTTGTAGTATCTATTAATGGTGTTTGAAATAATGATTAGTATGCACATTTTCTGACAGTTCTGCGAAACGATTAATTTATTAGTGTTTTTGTTGAAATAACACTGAATTTCTTTGAGCTGGAAATGTGAGAGTGCGCCGCATTTACTACAAATTACTCGGAAACGACTCATTTGCGCTGCCACTGAATCGTATTAATATTCGACACAGTAATTTTAAAGAAATGCTTACATTTTGAAACTGCCCGATTAAGTTGCATCGCAGCCTTTTAACGAACTGTGAATTATCAGAGGCAATGTTTCATATTTCAGACGTTCAGAGAATGCTGTAGTGGTCGGGAAAGGATCCTCTCATTCTCCTGGACGGACTGGAAAAAAATGGGCCTTAACGTCATGTCGGTATTATAGTATCTGCTTACGCCTTTCGAGCGCAGGGCTTGGGGTTAATTCGTAACATAGTTCACGCAGGAGGACGTTGTTTCAGTGTGAAATTGATAAACAGAAACGTCCGTGTCTACTACACTTTTAAACTAAAATATATGTTACACACACGTATACACACATATATACAGATATATATGGGAGGTACATATGTGCCGCAGATCACAGATCAATTGATGTCAATCACGGGTCACTGGGAAGCAGAAGAGGAGGTTCAGTACAGTACCTCGCCAGCATTGCTGGAGGGGTGTCCCGTTTGCCCACACTCCCGTGCTGTGTTTTCTGGAGCGAGCTCCGCACGACCAGCGCGCTTCAAGCTGATTTAAATTTCAGCTCCATTGATTAACAGCCCTTCATTAAAAATAGCTCGGGCTGTGCTACTGACTGTCCCAGCTGCACACGCACCAATTAAACATAAATTAACACATCTTCATAGGAGCTGCGTTTTTTTTTTTTACATAGCTGTGAGACATTATGATATGACTTCGCGTCACATGATAATAATAATAATCATAATCATAATAATAAATTTGGTTTCAATTTTAAATTTCATATCCGATGTTACATATATACATTAAAATAATTAACGTTTAAAAAGTTAAATGCCGCAAAACTTTCAAGTCTAGGGGCTTTTTAAAAGTCATATTTCAAAGCGTGCCCCGAGTTTAGCTATATGAAGCATTGTCATTTTTTTTCCGTTAAACAGGACAGCATTAAAAGTGAGAAAGGAGGCCTTTAGCAGACATGACAGGGCAGAAATGTAAGATGGAGACGCTTACTCTACCTTCCCACATAGATAGTTCATACCGAATCCCCCGGGTGCCACTGCGTAGGACGGGGACGTCTTGCAGTTATAGTGTCAGATAGTGCGCCGGTCGAGTAGCACGGCGGGTTCAACTCCTCCTACAGCCGCAACATCACACTCTCACTCAGATGCTCGGACCTCTTCCTGATCCTCGCTATTTCAGAGGGGAAAATGTCCCGGGATCATTTGGATAACTGCGGCTGAACTTTGCCCCCCACCCCACCTACCCACCCCCTGTCCGAGCTTTTTCGGTCCATTAACAGCAAAGTGCGGTTACAGTAGCCCAGTGTAAATCCCCCCTCGGCGGGCACCTGACGCGCTGTGCGGATCCTGAATACCGCAGCAGTTTTTGAAAAGGTCGCCTGGATTCCGGACTTGATAAATAAATTAAAAGACAATAGAAGCGTTGCGTCTGTGCATAAGTGAGACCTGCAAGTGCTGCTGGTGTATCATCTAGCCGGTGTCTAAAAAGCAGCTATTGCGCCCGTGTATAGCGTACACCTGATTGACTGCGTCTTCTCAGTTTATATGTTTGTTTGTTTGTTTTACGTGATTCGTAATGACCTCTGGTCACAATAGCAATATCGTGTGACCCGCATGTCGCCCTAAAACTAATTATACACGAACTATTTAGCACCTTGTCTGCCATTTCAATTACAGTTCACTTTCATGTTTCCAAAATGCCCAGCGCTAATTTATCTAGGTAGGATAATAAATTTCCCCTGACAATACCCGTTCATTGAACTACATTCACAACCGCATTTATTTAAGACGGCGTTGTCTGATACCCAACGAAACAGAAAATATTTGTCTTTGTCGAAACACGGATTAAGTTTTCAAAAGATCTTTTAATTAATTTCTTTTTTTCTGGAGTCAAGGTAGAGAACCCGGACGTGCAGATACACCGCCGTCTCCGCTAGAGGGCGCGCCGTTTCACTGGAATTCCAAGGACAGGTAAGGCAACTTCTTCCATAACTATAGAGGTTTTAGCGGCGTTTTCAAGCACGTTCTGGGATAGATCAAGTTGACAGAAAGCTACTGAAATGATGTTTTTTCTCTAAATAAACACAACTGCAAGGCAGATATTGCTAGTTCTCAGAAATTAGTTCCAATGAGTTACAATGTTTTAATTTTCCTTCGCTTTCGAAATAAAGAAAAAATAACCAGAAACAGATGCTTAGAACGCTTTTTAAAGTTAATTACATATGACATTTGTGAATGATTTCCTTCATCTTAAATTTACGTCCTTGAAACGATTCCCCTTGTCTCCATTGACAGTTTACACAGTTTTGATTCATTTGTCATTTATTTAAATTTCATCTTCATCAGGGCAACGAAGGCAATCAACACACACGACAAGAAGATCGCTGTCTCCGCGCTTAAATTCGTGCGATGGGCATATATAAAGAGATCAAGATTATCCCTGTGAAGAGAAAATCTATAAACGCAATTTGTTAAAGGTGCAAAATCCCTGCGACCAAGCGGATCACAGCAGTGGCGTGGAGGTGCTCGATGAAAAGCGGGTCTGCTGAGGTGCAGATCGTGTTTCAAGCTCCTTACCGGCGGAGTGTGGGTTGGCAGCGTCCACACTGAGTTATTAGGCAGGTTAATGAAATCACGGCGTTTTCCTGGGCTGACCAAGACGGAAGCCGCATTAAAGAGCATGGGAGAATTCAACATTTTATTACAGACGCTCTAAATCGGATACCCTCAGTTACGTTTTCCAGACTTCTACCATCTGTAAATAACGGTGAAAGACATTTCATGAATTAAAACAAGTGAACTATTATTTTGGCTACTGTTTTAACGTCCACAGCGCCAGTTTTCAGATAAATAAAATAGACCTTTGGCTGCATTTAGTGACTCATGAAAACGTGAAACTTGTTTTATTATTGTTTTATTATTTGTGGTGTCCCGTCATTTAATGAAAACGTAATATAAATTCAGCTCGGCTCAATTGCATTTCAAGGAAGCACGGAGAGCAGCTGAAGAAGATTAGACAGGGCGGCCATTATAGTGTTGTCCTAAGATCAAAAGTATCAACCATTAATCTCAACCAGCTCGCAAGAATTGCATAATTCAGAATCAGCCTATTTTTTTCTGTACTGGATTCAAACTGAATCAGGTACCAGGGAGATACAGACTCTCATCCCTCCTCCATCTGCTGTTGCCTCCCCATACATACACACCCACCAACCCCCATCTCTTCCCAAATTTCATTTGGAATACATCTCTGCTGGTCTCTGAATTCAGCACGCCTCACAACACAGATTTATTTTCTTAACAAATATGGACAGGGCACCTAAGTGGTTTCAGAAATCTTCAGAATGGACCGGGAGAGCTGGCGTTCGTGTGCGAGCGGCCGGTGGGGCGGTCCAGCACGTGTGTGTGTGTGGTTGTATGTATGTGTGTCTCCTCCTGCACTCCTACCTCGGAGATCGCTGCGCTCGCTGCACAGGCAGCCCGGGAAATGAGATAAGGATGTCTGATTCATGGAATCTGACAGGAAATCTATGAGTTGCAATGTTTATAATCCAGCCATTACTGCAAGGCCAAATGAAGAAACAATAATCCAATCATTTATCCCGTATTTACCTGAGGCTCATTTTCAGCTGTACCTGTGACTCGCTGAGGGGGAGCAGGTCACGGCAGCCCCCTGTGCGTGGAAACCCACTCTCCATGAATTTGGAAAGTGGGATAAAAGAAGATCTTGTGCCTCCAGCAGACAATAGGGTGGGGGCCTCTCTATGCCGCTCTATCCACTGCCAAGCCGTCCTGAGCCTTTTGCAGGGGTCTGCGATATTTAGGGGATTTAGTGACAGCTGTGATGTACGGAGCATACAGACTGCATTTCTCCACCTTTCCTGACAATGTGGAGAGGGACGGTGAGCCATAGCCAGAGCGGGAAGGTACCAGAAAAAACAGGTAAGTACACGTAGTCAACCTACAAGCGGGAATTCTGACATTGCTGATCTAGTATAGATCTGCAGTACAGACAAAGCAGCTCTAGTTGAAATTCCTCCTCTGATGTCATCCCTCACCGCACGCCCCTGCGGGAGGGTGGCGGACTCGGAGGAGCCCACGTGACCCACGTGTTAGAAGTTAATTCACTCCTTACCAGTCCCCTCAAATCAAGGCTCTGACAGCAGCAGGGGTTCGTCCCGGCGATTCGGGGGAAACGGGCCTTTATCTTATTGTTGAGAAAGTGAGGGGGCCCCCGCCTTATCTGTCAATAAACAGTAATTAGATTTCACCGCCGATAGCGTCAATTGCTTTCTAATCTAGCTGTTGCCCTGGACGCTTGTAATTAAAATCCTGATTGATAAAGGGAGAGCAGCCAGCCGACGGTGCCACCATGCTGACCCCCGCTCTCAGACCTTTTATAAAGCAAACAAGGGAGGAAGATACCAAAGAGCATCTGGGGGAGGGGGGGCACCGTTACTTTGTATTGATCCCAGTTATCTGCGCCCCTATCGACACCCCCATTTTTCCCGTGATTGAGGATTTCCGGATAGAGGCTTCATGCTCACTCACAGTAGAGTGCCCCCCCCCCAACAGGAGTAGTGGGGCTTATGTGGCAGGAATGGGACCCTGGAGATCTCTGCCTGCCACTCGTCAGCCAATGAGGAGTTACAGCCTAACAAGAGCCAGGTTTAGTATCCAGGGGTTACCCTGAACCATCCCCCCCCCCCCCCAGGGCTGCAAACAGGGACCTCTGGTGTCCAAAGCCAGTGTTAGTTACCACGACTCCCCCCTGTCCCCCCCCCACTTACACAAGCACTCAGTACAGGCTGGTCAGGCTGGAGACTTTCCTAACAGGCTGACATATGATATTTGTGCCAAAAGTCACGGTGACACTGGTCATTATGTATTTATATACAGTATGTGTGTGGGTTTTTAATATATATCAATATATATACACACATACACACACACGCTCGGTGACAAAAAGAAAATGAAATACCCAGACGGAGGGGTGGAAATGAAATGGATCTGCATGTGGTGAAAGGTCATGTGACTGTAATAGTGATTATTATATCAGGTCAAACAGACAACAGGGTTGGCAGTATGGGCACACTGCTGGTCCCATGTCAGTAGAGTGTGCCCCCCCCCTCGGGCCTGGATACATGTGGCGATTTGGCACAGAAGGGAGTTGTACAGCTGTTGTAACTGGCCCTCGAGATCCTGCAGACTGGCACTGGGACTGGCCCTCGAGATCCTGCAGACTGGCACTGGGACTGGCCCTCGAGATCCTGCAGACTGGCACTGGGACTGAGTTGACATCCAAGCTGATCCCACACATGTTGGATTGGGGGAGCTGGCTGGTCATGGGAGGACCTCATCATGAAGCAGGCAGACCATAGACACAGGTGCTGTGTGTGAACAGGCATTGTCTTGTTGAAAGACTGTACCAGGGTGCTGTCACAGGAGGGGTGAGACATGCGGATGCAGGATGTCACTGATGTCATGCTGTGTCGTCAGGGTCCCCCGAATCACTACCAGAGATGACCTGAAGTCATACCCTACCATACCATGGTCATCCCACACTATGATGTCATATCCTATGGCTCCCCACACCATGATGTCAGGAGTAACACCGGTGTGTCTCTCCACAAAATTGGTAGGATTGGTCCTCTCCCCTCAGCATTGCCATACACACACACGATGGTCAGCAGTGGGAACGCAGAACCGAGATTCATCACTGAACACGGTACGACGCCACTCGTCATCAGTCCATGCCTCCCGCTTACGGCACCACTCCAAACGCAGCCGACTCTGTGCTGGTGTTAACGGCAGCCTATGCATGGGACAGTCAATCAGTAGTCTGGCTGATGCCAGTCGTCGAGACACGGTGCAGGATGACACAGGGCGTTATACAGAGTCCAACACCTGTGTCTGGACGGCAGGTGCAGATGTCACAGGGTTCTGTAATATCGGCCCACAATA